AAAAAAAAAAAAAAAAAAAAGAGTAAGACAGCAGCTGCACATTTCCTGACATGAAAGAAGTTTCTCACATTAAGTGACAAAAGTACATGACAGCATGATCCCGATGAGAAAACAGCTGGCATCCTTACAGTATGCTTATGTGTGTTAAAAACTCATCTGAATTTTAATGTTTACAGTAAATGTGTACCATGAAGTAAAATGGCTTTACATTTAAAACCTGCCCAGCGAGTTTAACACTGAAAAACAGAAAAATTTGAATGTACTCAATCTTGAGAAATTAGTTTTCTATAGTGGATAAAATTATGGATTTAAAGTTCCACTAAAGACATTTTAAGAACACATCAACAAGTAAGTACCAAAACGCTTTTACCTTAGCTCCAAATTCCACAAGATTTGCTAAATTCTGCACAGACTTAGCCACTAATATCAGAGTTCTTGCAGCAATAGGAGATGGGGAATCTATAAAAGAATTGGGGAAAGCTAATGATACCAACTCCAAAGGTACTTCCAGGTAAGCCATTAGAAATGTAGCAGTTTGATACTTCTTTACTGTAAAAACACAAATATTCTTCTATTCAGAACTTAATAGTGTCTGAAAACTTACGACCTGTCCAAAAGAACCCAAGTTAAATGGAAAAAGTTAAACATCTATTGGTGCTTCTGGTTTTGTTTCAAATGGGGTACTACAAATATCAGTTAAACTCCCAACAAGTTAATACTACTTCAGAATACCTCACAAAGTTTTATCTTTATTTCATACTTCAAAGACCAAACATAAATCTGGGACCTGTGATTTGTTTGTGAAGAAAAATGTGAAAATTAATAAACCTTCAAAATATTTCAAAGCTCAGGAACAACACATCCCTATAGAACATAGTGTCATGTAAATGAAAAATTACTTCAGCTACTAGATAGAAGCCCTGACACTAATATGACAGGTACTCTATCCGAGAGCTTGATTTTACATTGTACTGTCTTAAGCATGAAAACTATAAATATTGTTGGTGAGTGGTTCAGAGAAATTGTAAATCTCTTCAAAAGGATTCTCTGAATTCTTAGAAGTTACAGATTTAACCATTTTAGCAGCAGTAATTATAGAGACATCATGGCTCTAGAAGTAAATAACATATTCAAAAATATTTTTAAGAGCGTTTTGAGCTTCAAATTAACTGCAAGGTAACTGCAGTTCTTTCTGGTGCCTTCTATCAGGGCTCACTGCTACACTGCACCCTTCTATGAAAGAAGCCCACATCATCTGGAAGTCATTCCACAATGGACATACGGGTAATGAGCAAAGCAAGGTTCGCTCGTGTCTAAAATGCTGGTTAACATATAACTTAGGACAGTCTTCAGCGGGAGGAGCCAGAGCTGCTTTTACCTAAGTCCTCACAAAGCACTACTGCAACTGTGTGTAGAAGTTTAATTTGATCTTAAGAAACAGCTTTATAGCCATCCAGCATGAACTACACACCCAAAAGCTCTGCCCAACTTGCAAAACTGCAGATTTAGACTACAGAGACACAAGAATGCAAAGTGGAATGTGTGTAATTCTGCCCTCTTAGGGCTCTAACGTAGAGGAAAACCTAAGAAGTAAAACAAGATAAAGAAGAATGAAAAAAGGGGGAAGTATGCTTTAGAATGCCTTATAACATCTTAGAATTGACTAATTTTTATTTTAAAAGATTTAAAAGACAAATGAACATTCTTATTAAGTAGTGGAATTTTATTCTATAAGTTTTCTCATCAATATTTATCAAAAGCAAATTACCTGAGATGATATTAAACATCCGTGGATTCAAGATGGCAGGACAGATAAGCCGAAGAAAAACAAAACCACTAAACAAAACAATTTTTTTTTTTTAGAAAACCATTGTACAGATTTACATAAAAATAAATACAAACAACACTGTATGTCTGTCAGGCCGGGGGAACCCTGGGGCCTTGCACACGCCAGGCAAGTGTTCTAACACTGAGCTACATGCCCTCTCTGTTTACTTTTTTTAAATTTTTGTACCTGGTATTACAGGTATGTGCCACTGTGCCCAGCTAGACAGAATTTTACTGTACTCATAGTACCATAGCCTTTACTCTGAATTCACATAGGGAAGCACAATCAGAGCTTTAAGAAAACAGTAAGCTAAAGCATATTTTAAAATTAAGTGTCTTTACACTTCTTGTGTATATTATTCATTATTATCAACTCTGGAATTGTAGATTAACTGTGGGGCGATGTTAAGTTTAACTGTACAGTTGCTGGCTCAGGGTCTACTTATTCCAGACTAGGAGTTTACTTTATCCACTAAGAGGCAGAAATATCCTTAGAAGCCTTGAGAATTTCTGAAAAAAAGTACAAATAAACCTTCTGTAAGATTCCAAAACTTTCATTACTCTATTTTTGCTTTTATTAATAGAATAGTCATGATGAGTTTTTATCAGTTTTATTGATACGTCATATAAAAATAAGAATCCACTGCACTAGAGAAGTGACTTGATAAATGAAAATCTAAGAAAAGACTCCATGGATTCCAAAGTGTAAAAGCTATCAAATTATAAAACAACTGCAAAAATATGAAATTAACCGCTTATTTGACTTTGGGAACAATGCAGATGCAACTTTATGTACATATTCTACTCTGGCTCCTTCAGTCACTGTTAGAGAGTGTATGTTGTTAACGTGGACAATTTTCACTTCCTTTTAAGAAGAATCCACACTAATAACTTTTTCCCTGCCCTGTGCCAGAATGGCTAATCCAACTTCTCAGCATTTATCTTCAATTTTATGGTAGTTTGCTCATTTTGGACTCTTAGAAAAATGAATGTTATTTTTCAAACAGCATATATAACAATTTGAAGAACTCAGTCTTTACATCTGGATTTCTTTTAAATTACTTTATGATTTTTGCATCAATTTTTACTTGAAAACATTTTGATACTCAACTAGGGTCTGTGCAACAGAAAGCCTAACCTGACAACACTGGTCTTAGAATTTCTGTGTGCAAAATGGCTTTCCGAGTTTTTAGAGGTGATTTTAAACTTGAAAAGGATACCTAACGTATTGATATACTGAAGAGCTAACGGAACAGAAATCACTGCCATGGGCATAAATTCCCCCATCACTGCATCAGATCTTGCAGTATTTGCTTAACAACTGCTTATTAAAGTTCAGTTTACAGAACAGCTTTATTTCCATCGCACATGTAACTGTACTGAAATATTATGCCTGTATTTCATTCCATTTACCACGAAGCTTAGAATTAGAGAATCTATAATCTTTATGTATCATAAGTAGACATGAGCATTGTCCCCCACTTTTGTTGCGCTGGGATCAGATCCAGGGGCTCAATCCTGCTAGGCAAGTGCTCTACCACTGAGCAATACCCCTTGTCTGCAAGACAGAATGGTTTTATTGGTATGTGGAGTTTTTGTTCTTGTTTTGGTTTTTATTTTTGAGACACGGTCTCACTTAGTGGCCCAGGCTGACCTTGAACTCTTAATCTCTTTGCCTAAGCCTTTCAAGTAGCCTGGAGAATAGGCACACAACTTTATCTGCAAAAATAGTAGAAACTTCTTGACAATATAGATCAGAGACAGGATTATGATACTATACTGGTATCTTTAGTAATTTTTCCTGTTTTGTCTTTTTGAAATTTAATGTAACTTTGCAATGCATATTCTAACAAACACATGATATAAGGAGGAAACTGCCATATTCACTGAAATTTTTGCACTAAACTTCTGGTTATCTTGTATTGCTTGCAATATGCTTAACAAAAGCCTGCCAACAGTGTTAGAGACACTAGGTCATCCTAGTGTCTTAGAAGGTTGCATTAGTTCTGCCTCGGTTACTAACTTTCTGATAGGCTTAGGCATTTGACAGGGTCCCATTATGCAGCCCAGGCTGGCCTCAAACTCAGGGTAATCCTCTGCCTAGGCCTCCCAAATGCTGGGGCTACAGACTTATACCACCACCCCCAGTCCCCTTATGCAAACTGTTTTACCTCACCAGAACTGCTTCTTCACTGGACAAATAATTAGAATAATGATAATGAAGTCTCCATATACAAGCTCTTAAACTCCATGACTTGCCTTGGAAGTACTTCCTAATTACTGTATAATGGGCAAAGCTAAACAGCTTCAAAATTAGAAGATTTGGTAGAAGATGAGGCTACCATTAAAGATTTTCTTACAAACCAGTTAGTCAACACCTAAATACTTAATTACTGCCCTTCTCAGCAGCATCAAATGTCTATCCCTTTATTCACCTGTACGCATACATATGCATAATCTATGTGCTACATACAGTGATGTAAGAAATGAACTGATGGGCCTTACCTAACAACTCTTGTTCTCATGGTTTTATTGGTAGGCCACTTGTGTTGAACAGATTTCTGTAAACACCCATAAATATACCTCAGTGTCCTGCCAAAATAAAACAATTACGGTAATAAGAAAACATGTAAAAAACACTGGTCTTATGGTGGACAAAATCTTAAACTGACTTTCCCCCAAAAAAGTATTTTGCCAAAAGTAATGAGACATTGAGTAAGGGGTCAGGAAACAATCCAGTAAGTTTACCATCAATTTTAGGCTACTTTCACGTTCATGAAATTACAGAAAAAGTATTGGAGTGCGGCTATGGAAGAACTAATGTGGCAAGAAATTCTGGGGAGAAAAAAATCCTTATTTAAATTCTACCTAACAAATAAATTCACTGACACTGAAGATTCACTAATACAGGCGGCCTCTAAACGGATACTGAAATGGTAATGATACCTGTTATACACTTTGATTATTTTTATTTTTTTCCACTGCTGGGATTGAACCCAGGTTCTTTCTCATGCAGGCCAGGCCAGAACTCCACAGAGCCAGACCCCATGGCTGGTACACATTTTGAATGAGAAATTACAGACCACAAAGACAACCTGTCAGGTCTCCTCAAATCTAAGACAGCAGGCCCCTGTTCACTCCCCACACTACATCTGTATAAACAAATGGTTTGTTTTATGAATGTAAATATTTCACACTGGTTTAAGAGTATTTCATTCTGGTTTCTTTAACTCTTTTTCCTTAAACAATACTTATCTTTAAAGATTTAAAACTGGAACTCTTTCAGAATATAACACCAGGTAATAGGAAGCTCTTATATTTGAGAAATGTTTCAAAAAATAAAGACAATTTCTTGTCAAACAAAAATTTCACTACTTACGGTGGCAGTATTTCAGAAGCCATGAATATTTTCTCCACGAGCTCTGAAAGTATGTTCAATAGGTGTGCTAAATTAGTGTTCACATCTTCATTTTTTTCTAACTTTGATGGACTTAACTAAGACACAGAACAAAGCAATATAAATATACTTTGGCAATGAAATGCAAGTAAATCAAGGTAAACAAGTAGTCTCCAAGGTTCTCTACTTTCCTATTATGTGTAAGTCTTTTTAGCATAAATGGGAATGCCGAAGTATTCTGCACTACAGAACTCCTAATAGGTTTGCTGCCATTCATTCATTCCCAATACCCCACAGAAGAGCAAGTATTGACTACCCAGTTTTATTTCCATTAGGGGAAAAAAAGAATTAAAAAGCATTTTCTTATTGAGACTTAATTATCAAATAAATACCTTAGGTGGCATCATGAACCTTTTCAGAAATTTTTCTAGTAACTCCTGAAATCTAAGAGTTCTGACTGGTATTAATGAAAGTCTGAATTCCCCGAGTTCCGTCCAAAGCACAGAGATTCCCTACAGACGTGCTGTATTTCTGTCACCCTTCATGGTTAGGTTATGGCATTACTCTGGATTAATAACACCAGGTCACTCATTTCTTCTCTTTAACTTGTACATAAAAATTGACAAGGTAGAGCAGAATTAACATTTACTAGCATTAAAAGTCAATTCCTTATTTTATTGATTCTATATGAGGTCTAAACATGTAAATCCAGTATCTTCCTTTGTAATAGCTCTACCAAAATGAAAACCGCCATGTAAGCACTATTCTGTTCATGATTTTAATGGTTAATTACAAATTCACATTGTAGCCTTAATTAATCATCCTAAAAAAATCTTTTGCTTTTCCTCTTAATTCCATCTTTGCCCAAAATAACCAAGCATCCCCAATCTGAAATCCAAAATCTAACTGCTTCAAATTTCCCAACGTTTTGAGTGGGATGTGTTTCCACAAATGCAAAATTTCATACCTAACCTCATGTGATGGACACAGTCAAAACACAGGAGTTCTAAAAATACAGTATAAAATTATTTTCAGGTCGTGTACCAAGTACATATGAAATAAATGAACTGTTTATAGTTGAGTCCCATCCCCAACAGACTTTATAATGTATATGGAAATACTTCAAAATCCAACACCTTTCTGGTCCCCAGCATTTTGGGTTAAGGGATACTCAACTTGTACAACCAAAGCCCTACAAAAAGCATTCAATTTATGTTATGCACACTCTGAAAGCGCGTACATTACTTCGGGAGGACTGTCAAAATACTTATGAATTTCTGGTGCAACCTGATCAATCCCAATTCGAAAATAAAGCACAGTGTTGTGTGCTTGTGTGTGGTGCTGGACACTGGACTCAGGATCTCATGTATATACTAGGAAAGTGCTCTATCACTGAGCTATTCCTTTAGCCTTAAAGCACTTCTTTTTTAAAAAGTGTGTTATGCAAAACATTTTTATAAATGTATTACATAAAGTACAATTACGTTGGTATATAATTTTAGAAAATTAATGTTTGCCTTAGCTTAAAATGTAATTTGCTAGAAAGTGGTAGTTTTAAAATTTGTTTACTAAAACAATTAAAAAATTAAATTTTAAGACGTTAAGTTTTTAGCCTGAGGTGGTAGTACACTACTGTAATCATCCTGGAGGCTGAGGCAGAAAGATCTCAAGTTTGAACGCAGCCTGGGCAACTCAGCAAGACTGTCTCAAAATTTAAAGAAAAAAGGACAGGCTAAGTAAAGTACCTCAGGGTCAAGGCCTTGGATTCAATCTTTGATGCCACAGAAAAAAAACAAACGGAAACAAAAACTGCTATATTCTTACCTCACAAGACTGCTTGCTCTCCATTATCTTTAAAATGGAGTCTTTCAGCGCGTGGTGGACAAACTGAGTAGCAGTGGCCTTCATATACTGCTCCATCAGGGTGCTGGCAAGTGTTGTGGCTCGAAATAGGGTGGTGGCTTCATCTGTGCAAATATTTATATAAGATACACATACAAACTATACTAATGTGCTCAAACTAGAAGTGAATTTATTTTTCAGGTACAGCCATTTAAAGAAATATGTATTTTGCATAGAGCACTGAAAATTGATTAAAATGACTTATTTCTAAAGATTTCACCATAAAAGAATTTTATATGTGTTAGATCACTGAATCATAAACAGAAGGAATTAATAGTATCATTTATGTGAACAAAATGAAGGCTCAGAATGGTTTATCATTTTCTAAAATCAGTTGCCCAGTTAGTGATAAAACTAGGATCAAGACTTTGCTGAACCCTGACTTCATGTTTTGAAAAATTTGAGTCCATTTCCAAATAAGAGTATAACAAAAAAATCCCGGTATAATTTTATTAGCTAAGTCATGGACACTGAGTTTTAATAAAATTCCAGTAAAATTCAAATATCAGAAACAAGTCTCAGGGAAAAACATGTGCACCATTTAATCTATGTTTTGAAAAACCTGCATTTTGAATAATTTTTATGATTAGAGAAAATAGTTCTGACTTTGCAGTTTTATTACAGGAATTACAGTATTTAGGAACAAGGACTTGCTGAATCAGTGATGGGGAAAATACATTATTCTGACACAGGAGGAAGCTATTAACAGCACTGTGTCCAGGCCTAGCTATAAAATCCAACTAACGCTCAACTTCTTTGTAATCAATGAGTAAATAAAAAATGAGAGAGATAGTATGGTTAAGTAAACCAAATTATTCTTGAGAGTGAAGTACTGTGAACCACTGATCTGAACAGAAACAATTATCTATGGCTCCTAATACAATCTTCCATGACAGAAACCTGTATGTATTAGAAACACTCGCCTCTATATTAACCGATGTGCGATCAGAACTCACACCCCAACTTCATTTCTTAATGAAGGAAAATGGAATAATTTTCTCTACAATATGATACAGTTTTTTTTAAAATATACCTGAAGACAGATGTATGAGATATAAAATCTAATAACCCAAGTTTAAAAATATCACACATCCATACTCTACCTTCCATGCTTATTTCTCTGTCATTTAGTGTACACAGCAACAATGATTCAAGCTTTTCATGAAGAAAAATCCTCAGGAGGATGCTAGCCAGGAGTGTCCGGTCTTGTCCACATACGTGTGACAGAGCATAGACAACGTGGAGCTCCTTCTGCAGGATAAGCTAGAAACGACATGGAGGGAGGGAGGCACGATGCATCTCCAGGGAGGCCAGCGGGAAACAGTGTTCTCACGTTTAATGAGAAATATGTCACTGAATAAATGTATTAAAAAAGAGTGAGTCTGTCACCTACATGCGTCTGGTCTTCTAAGATCAAATACCACCAAGTTTTTTAACCTCAGGCTACTGTGTTCCATGGTGGTAAGAAATTACTGCGTTGAACTTAATGCATTTTTCTTAATGAATGTTACAAAGTGTTTCTGTTAATAATGCCGTTAAAAATAGATGAAGAACAATCACCTCTTTAAATTCACTGTACTCTTCCTCCGGCATGATTTTTTCCATGGAATATCTCGCTCGAACGCGCAGGGATCCTGGTTCAATACCTTTCAGTGGTATATGGGAGCTCAGGAGAAACCATTCATCTGTGGCATGACCTTTCTGTAGCCGGCTCAACTGGCAGCGCATAAATACTTTGAATGAAAACAAATGATTACATAAAAAAGGTACCATTGTCATTAGCCATGCAAGTACCTTTTCCTGAAGTTCAGTCCTCTGCACTTTTCAATGAAGCATTTCAGTAACACAACAAACTCCATATGGGATTGCTTACTTCATTTACTGTGTATCTACTATGTGCTAGACTCTGTGACAGCCAAAGGCCTGGGATACAGAGATGACTGACGTATGACGTGCCTAGCCAAGAAGGCAGAAATCAGTTATGGTACACAGTGATAAGTAACAGTCAACCATGCTCTGAGAATATAGAGAAGTAATATGTAATTAAGCCTAGAAAGGTAAAAAACCCACTGCAAGCAAGTAAATCTTAAGCTGACCTGCAAGCTTAAGTAAAAAGGTAAGGGAGCAGGCAAGTACTCCAGGTAAGAGAGCATGGCAGCCATTACTCGGATTTTATCATACAAGTAATGGGAATCAGTACAAAAGTGTTTAAGGTGTACAGTAATGACAGACTAAACATTTCACAGAGACAAAGTCAAGCTTTGCTCTATCTGTTAATACATAACATTTCCTTCCTAGGCCTAAATTTTAAAGATGGTATTAAGGGCTGGGGATTTAGCTCAGTGGTTCCGCCACCTGCCTCTCAAACGCAAGGACCCAAGTTCGATCCCCGGTATTAATCAATCAATCAATCAATACAGACAGTATTAACTTAATATGCCCCGATGTGCACTGCTAAACCCCACTGCCATCTGTTCTAGCAGTAGGCTGGGAAGACAAACACCATGGAGAACAAGACCTGGGAGTGTCTTGACTATGCTGGTGTATAAATACCATCCTCTTCTAGAGTACTTTTTGTATAGAAGAGTAGGAAAAGGCTAAAAAGTAGAAAGGGAAGGGGAAAGCCCCACAGCAAACCAGCCAGTGACTATTTTCATGTTAATTTTTGGGAAAGGGAGTGATAGAGATTTCTAATTTAGTCTTAAGGGCTTCAGTTTATAGTATGTACAAGTTAGACATTTAAGTCTATTTCTTCCTACATGTAGAGGTACAAGATCCCAGCAATGAATGTAACTGCACTGTATCCCTAAAATGTACCAATTAAAGCTGAAAAAAAAAATCATAAAAAAAAAGTCTATTTCTTCCTAGATTAAAAAAAGTATAGTAAGAAACTGTCTCAATTACATTACTTGCATTCCTGTTTTGCTTTGCAATTTCCATATTAAGAAATTTCATTATGAATTCTAAAAATTTACAAAACATAACTTTAGAAAGTTTCTTATCAACTTACAGATATCAGGATCTTTGCTTTTCTTTGTTTTATTACTAAGAGTGATTTCAAACCTATTGATGTCAGGAGGAAGATCACTAAAGAAACAAGGAAAAAAATAATTAACAAAATGTTCTGGTGTCTAACTACTTGATTCCTTCAGTTCTAATGCCAAATAAGCCCACTATTTCAAAACTTGAGCATGCTAAATTTAAAACTGGATTCACAACATATTTAATTACTTAGTATACAACAACACTGACAAACAAATTATACACTTTTCCTACTAGTATTAACCGCCTAAGCTACCGATAATTCAGGTTAGTGCGCAAACTACTAAAAGCATTTTGTATGGTTTTTCACTTGTAAGTAATGCTAATGTGTATAAATAATTAGGAAAAAAGCCCAGGGCTTGGCACTTTACTAATGAAGGAGAATAAATACAACACAAAAACAACACTGTCTACTACTGAAACTTCTAAATTTGGTGCCTTGGTCTGACAGTATAAATACAGGGATGAAGAAAGGAGGGGGAAAGAGGTAGAGAGAGGGAGAGAGGGAGAGAAAAAGAGAGGGAAAGAAACGCAGTATGGTTTAAAAAAAATCATTTAATACTTACTCAAAGACAAATTCTTCTGACCATACTGGGTTTTGTCCTTCCCTTGCATGAGTTTTTGCTACTTGGACGCTATTCAGGTAGATATTACAATATGGGTTGGTAAAATGTTTTACTGGGAGTTTGTGAGCTTCCTCAATATGTAAAACAAGGCTGCTGACCTAAAGCAAACAGAAAAATTACTACCCCAGAGCTGAAATATTATGCATTAGGTTTCAGAGCTACTACTGTAAAATAAAGTAAAAAACAGTGACTTATTTTTCCATTTGGAGAAGATATGAGCCATCTTTTCCTTTTACATGACATACTACAAAATATTCGTGTACAGTGGATGCTCAAATTATAACCAGCCTGACATACGAACAACCTGGGTTAATTAGGTTAATGAAGGAGTCATCTTGCCTCCTGTCATCTATAGTGTGTACCCAGGAAACATCCAGATCTCAGCTGTACTTAGCTACAACCAGCCCTCGGGATGTGATTGAGATGGTAAATCAAGGGTCCACTGTACCTAAAATTCAAGCATTTAAAATTTTCCCACTTTAACAAAGATACAAAATGAGATATTATTTTATTTGTGCGGTAATAATGAAATAAACTTTTTCTGCTATAAAACAATGACATAGAGAAAATATAGCTGAGAAGAGGATTCTTTATTAATCTAAACAACTGTGACTGCCCCAAAATTCCAAATGTTATACAATGTTTATCAAGGAGACTGTTATCACTATATCAAATACACAGCTAGACACTGATTCTACCTTCTGATTTTATAGAAAAAGATACAAAATTCAAGCTTAGTCCACCTGTAGTTGTTGTAAGGACTAGAAACAATGTATGTACGAAACACAGAGCACCTGACACTCACAAAAGGGCTTAAGAGAGACGATCTATGGTTGTATCAACAAAAAATTTCATGGCTCATGTTTCACACAAGACACACTTACTGTTTTTTGCAAAATCCGATTTTCCACACTTCATAAAACATTACAGTATGTTCTAAAGGCAAACAGTAATTATGGGTAAAATAAAGTGTCCTTGGGAAAAGGACCAAGACTTCGCATTACAGAGACTAGTTGGCTAAATATTAACCATCTACCCATTTCAGTAGAACAATGTTAAATTCAGTTAAGTATAGTGCAGATTCCCATAAATAGGATCACTTTATTTTATTAAGTTTTCCTCCAAATGCCAGGAGTGTCACAATATGTTTGCTTTCTTCCAACTCTTCAGGACAGTGATGGCAAATCTTTCAATGATACAAAAAGCCTGCAGTGGCGCGTGTGCCATAGGTTCGCCACCACTGATCTATGGTTATCATGGAAAAAGAAAACCCACAAAGTGGAGTCTATGAAGTTGCTCTTACATACATAGACAGAAGATAAGAGAAAGCCTAGCTTAATTTTCCATAAGCAAAAATATAAGCCAGGTTAAGGTTTCAAATTAGGGTGGATATTACCTAAGAGTTACAGGGTGAATTTCAGAGTAGTACAGGATGGAAATCTCAAAAATTTACTGAGATTAGTAGTGTAAGTTACACAACCTTTTCAGGAAGTATCTACAGTTCTACTTTTTTGACAAAGGGCAAAATAATTGGAAGGAAAAACATGTCCAGCTGAGTATTTTCTGTTGCTGATTTGGTATTGTATTTTAAATGGAACAGTAAGTAATCTTTCAATTTTACTCAAAAGTTAGTATTAACACTAAGAAGCACAAGTAGGTATACAAAGAGCATCATCTTTGAGAAATATTTTTCCTGCTACCGAAGCAGAACCAGGACTTTAAAATGCCTGAAAATAACCTCTCTGCTCTTTAGAGTTGTCTGAAATCGTTCACATAGTAATTAAAAGGGCATAATGACAACATAAATTGTGCTAATTACAGCAAATACAAGTTTTACCTGGCGAAGGCGTTTATTAGACGTCCCTGGACTACTTTTCCGTAAACTGCAAAATGCTTGCAGACCTTTCATCCAATCCTATAAAAAAACAAAAACAAACAAACAAACAAAAAACAAAACAAAATAGCATTTCAAAAAAAACCTGATTTCTGATCGATTTATTTCCCTCAAATTCAACAGGTTTTTCCTTCTCTAGATTGCCATTTTTAGTCTTAGAGTACACAGAACTTTAAAGTGTCCCAATAAAGTAAAATTATTAGAGAATCCCTAATTAATGTCAAGCATACTAATGTGTGCCCATTGATTAACAAAAACAATATAATTTTCATTAAATAAATTGTTTTTCTCAAACAGACTCAAGCGGGGGGGGGGAGCAGGCAGGCAAGCCCAACCCTAGGAGGGCTCTGGCCGGGGCACAGCTCACTGTGGCCGTGCTGCCCCACAGGACCAGCGCACTGCTCTTCTCCTAAGACCATGGTACAGGCAGACACACAGAAGAGCAGCTGATGTTTATTTCTAATCCTAGATTTTAAAAATTACTTTGACTGTATTTTTTAAATGTTTAAACATAACATTGCTCCAGAAAAAAAGAGAGAAAAATTTACATTTATTGAAATCTAAATACTGTCTTTGGCTTCCATGTTTTCGGAAGGCTCTGTACCTTCTGCTTTATTTAATTGTATGTGTAGTTTCTTGGCTACTTCAATGGATCTGAGCTCTATCACTGCTTAGAGAATTAAATCCAAATCAATTATCACAGCTTTTAGAAACAGAAGACTCCACAGCCCACCAAAATCAACAAAAACTGGAAACAGTATATATAAATATAGTAAGAAAATATTTCAAATGAGGCTTAGAAAGCCAATGTAGAGAAAAAATGATAAAATAAGACAGAAGTTTAAATTTCTATTCCTATCTCTATTTTTTAAAAATGTTACTAAAATATTTCTCACTCTACTCTTCTCATTTAAAAATTAGGTGTAGATAACTATATAACAAAGTTGAATCTGTATTACAAATAAAATGATTTCTTGAGCTATTTTACAAAAATTCGAAACATGTCATTAAATTATAAATCATAAAACAATGACTCATTCATCAAGTATTCTTGGAGCCTAATACTATCACAGGGTGTGAGTCAGAGGCTCGTGCTAGATCACAGGTTTTGTTTTTGTTTTCATTCTTTTTTGGTACCAGGGATCGAACTTGAGACCTTGCACTTGCGAGACAGGCAGTGGCACCACTGAGCTAAATCCCAGCCCTAGAAGATCAGTTTTAAAAACATCTGCTTCATAACCAGGGCTGGCAAATTATGTTCCATTTCCAACAAAGCCACTTTCTTTGACCTGTTAACCACTTAAGGTTCTTTCCAAAGAGTTCAAGTGGAAATACAGCTTTATTTATACACAATACAACTAAAACACTCCAGAAATATTAAAGTTTAAAGAAAAAATACATTTAAGAGGAGGTTTTGAAAATATTTCTTACAAAATTACCTAAAATTTCAAGTTACAAGCAGGGCATATGGATCAATGGGTAGTGCCAAGCACACCTATGCAGACTTAGTGAATAGATAGAAAACAGCAGTCATAGAATATTTTTCTTTTAGATGGTGGAACCTGTATTTTTAAACATAGCTAGCTCGATCAGTGAAGAATAACAATGCTTGTTAGCAAAACTTAATTGGCTTACCTTTGGATAGTACTGCTAGCATCTACAATCTTTATGCAGAGATTTTAAATGTGTATTCTCAGTTGGACTCAACATCAGAGTATTTAAAATCAATTCTAAATAATGTTTTCATTCCTAATAACCCTTCACTGTGTTTCCGCATTTTTTGGGGGGGGCTACACTTTAGGTATACAGTGAAGTTGCATTCATTATCGGGATCTTGTACCTTTACATGGCATGACAGGCCTTGGCTCTCACTTTTTCCACTTGTTCCTGCCCTGCTTTCACTGCCTCCTCCCCTTCCCATTTACAAGCACTTCATTTCCATTTTTTCATTTTCTCCTATTTTTTTCTTTTCCCTTCTTACCTTTCCCCTACCCTTCCCACTTTCCCTACACCTTTAGCCCTTTTCTTCCTATTTCACAATGTCCATTCCCATCTCATTAGGATCTAACGTACCATTATAGTTTTTCACATCAGAGAAACTATTCGGTACTTCTGCATTCTTTTCAAAAAAATTTTTTTGCATGAAAGTTCTCATTACTTAAAATGAAAAGATTATTAGATTTCAAGCATTCTTTTTATCATTTTATCTTAAATGCAACAGTTTTCTACTCAGGTAAGAAAACATGGGCTGACAGATTTACAGTAAAGAAATAATGCTCTTACCTCTGTTTGTTCAGGAGTTTCTCCTGCGAAGTAAAAGATGTAATGTTCTTCACTAAAGTGCTGAACTACTATCTGAAAACAGTTTGGCCTTTAAAATACAAACAAAAAAATGAATTAAGAATTTTACAGTGACTACTAAAATATTTACACAAACTTTAAAAAAATATATAATTATATAATTTATATAAAATTATAACTTCAAGAAATAACACTACAGTGTACCAGATCATTACTTAAAAGAAAATCACTCTTTTAAAGTAAAGTGCTATGTCACTTTAAAAGACATTAGACATAGTAAAGTTATGAAGAAAGCAAAATTTCTAGAATTGCACACAGTTAATTTAAAAACTTTTTGCTTTTGGAAAAAAAGACTAGAAATATTCCTAGACTAAAATGTCCTTGCTGATTATCTCACAGATTGTGGGTGATTCTGTTTATTAGTCTGTATTTTAGGTTTTCTTTAATAAACTGACTTTTTCCTCATATATTAAGATGAAAATATCATCTCATACATTGCTTGTTCTGATGTTTAGATAACCTAACTCGTGGATAACAAGTATTAGAGCATGTCTTCTTTAGTATGCACTACTATAAATCATTTGACACATAAGTATAATTTCTAAATTATACTGTATAAGTAAACTAATTTATATCTGCTTTGGATGTGTTATCTGATTAAACTTGAAAATGTTTAAAACATGTTTAATGAGGGCCTGCATGTTTTTAGAACTTGATATATGTTATTTCTTTTTGCTGCTTTAGACAAAGTTTTTTTGCTGTTGTTAAAATGAGGAGGCCATAGCAAGACAGAGAAAAAGTATATGTGCTGCCGAAGCAAGCACAAAAAGAGAACAAGTTTTACACTTGTGAAAATATAAAAACCATCTTTTCGTGTTTTGAGAATGTTTTAAAAGTAATGGAATGTGTAACTGGAGACTTCTGATTCTGAAAATGACTGGTATCTTCTATCTGGATAAAATATAAGACAACAAAACAAATGAACAAATACCAGTTGTGTAAAGACCCTCGAGACGGGAGCTATAAATACTCAAGAAGCAAGATCCTACTGAGATGAGCCTCACGTTGGCTACACTTTTCCTCTCAAGGTATGTGCCAGTTCCTAAGCTGTGCAGAAAAAAAAGCAGTTGCTTTTTTAAAAAATTTAAATGCTAAGCAGAAAACCCAGCAGTTTTCGTGTGCTGGGAGAGCAAAACGGAACTTAGGGCATTCCAGGAAAAGGCTCTCAGCTGAGGCCCCTGAGGACCGGATCTTCACAGGAAGGGCAAGCCAGACTCAGCGCCTCTACCCTACCTCAACGCCACTGACCCCAGGGAAGGTTCAACATAGGCGCACCTACTCCAACCACAGGCACATTAGTTTCCATTACTTTTGATTCATAATATTTACCATTTTGCCAAATGTAACAAGACATTTCAAGAATCAAGATCTAACAACAAAGTCAGGGTAAAAATGTTTAAGAAAATAGGTAACTATTGATTAACTATGATTCTGTCAGAAAGGTATGTCTAGTAAAAAAAGACTCATATTAGAAATAAATTAAAACCTCAAGAAATAGATTTAACTACAGAAGCATAGATAAGTGAACTACAAAACAGGAGAAAATATGTAGCCTAAAGCAGAGAGGAAGAAAAGATGAAAAACTATGTATTAGACACAAAGGACATGGCGAAAAGACATGTTTGACAGGGATGCCTAGACAACAGAATGCAGCAGAACTCTTTGAAGAGACACTAACAAAGACTGTAAACTGATAAATGATACTCAGTCTCAGGTTGAAGAAGCTCTTCAACATCACAGGAAGTAATTTAAAAAATTTCTAGTAGGCATACTTTGGTTTTGCTGCTTAAACAAAAAGCATCCGGAAAGATAGGATACATTTCTCTTAACAGAAAAGGAAAAAAAAAGCAACCATTTGTGTGCCAATGAAAATGCTCAAAGTCAGAAAACTATTTTTAAAAAGTAGATAAAGGCCAGTCTAAAATTTAATATCAAGCAAAGTGTCCTTCATAGGTATAGATGAAACAATAAATACTGCCACGGTGGAAGATCCAGCCTAGGAAAAGATAAAAGCGCAAGAATTCCCACATAAATATTCACTAGAATAACTGTCATGGAAAAACCTTTCAATGTGTGCTTTTGAAATAGTTAATATTTAAAATAAAGCAGTATCAACAGTCTGAAGTTTACAAGGAAGAAAGTGCTTAGAAATTTCCAAGTAATCCTGAGAGTCATATGGGAAAACCGCACAGCTCTGCAACTAGAGCCAGGCAGGAAGACGGCCCGCCCATCTGTGCTGTCCAGCCCGCTTCAGGAGAGGGCTGAGCACACACAGGCCACCTAGAGCCAACTCCGACAGCAGAGCTCCCTGAAGAGCACAGTCAGTGTGTGCACAAAGGGCATCACGTTCACAGCCTGCTACATATCTGATAACAGTGAAGAACAGGCAACAGCACTGTTCCATAATTTTACCTTTTGTGCACTCATATCTGTATTTTATAATGAAACAAATTGATATTAACCTATTCTTCCTCTGTCCTATTATATGATAGAGATGCCTTCTCATTTCCTTGAAATATACTTTGCTGATTTTGTTTTCCCTGGCATTTAATTTTTTTAATCCTTCTCTTCACAGTAAGACAAACACAAGTATATACAAAAATAACTGACACTAAACTGACATACTTTGTGGAGAAAGTTTTTGTTTTTGTTTTTAAATAAGACCTGGGTAATGTTCTCATGAAGTTTTTCATATCAGGTTAGATGCACTTTAATTAAGGGTATAATTCATAAATATAAACCCCTGCTAGGACTGGTAATGATGACATGCCAACTTCCCTGAAATAAGAAATCCCTAGCAGATTAGTGATGTGCTCTGCTGGCTGTCTGGGTAGGCACGGGGGTGGCACTTCAGTACTACACATGGCTCTTGGTTCCTTTCCTCAACAGCACTGCTCCCCTGCCGCCACGAAGTAAGCAGCTTTGCTCTATCACACATCTTCCCAAGATGAGACTTCTACATTGGAGCATGACAACCCTGCACTGGATCTCCTGAACCTGCAAGCTAAATTCAACTTTTTTTAAATTGTGGCTATTAGGTATTGTGTTACAGCAATGGCAGGAACGTTTCTTTTTACCTGACCATCTAGTTTAGAAGTCTTTAGAAATAGTTTATGAAGAAAGTTTGGAAAAGTCTGGAGAAAGGGGTAAGACAAACCTGCAAATGTTGTGAGCTTGACAGGTGATTCTGGACAGAGTACAGAAGATTGGGATGCTCAGAAATGCAGACAGTAAAGGCCAGGTTCACAAGGTTTCAACTGGGAACAAGGATTCCATCAGCACATGAGCTACAGGCCATTTGTGTTACTCTATGGCAGAAAATGCCTACATTTTGCTCATGTACTAAGACTGCGGGAGACTTGGATTAAGTAAGGGTAGTAGACTAATGAATCTGGAAGAGGAAATTTCAAGACAGCTAGTGTTCAGGCATGGCTATCCCGGCTGCTTTTAACTTGATTTATATGAGGATCAGGAGCAAAATGGACAGCAGAAAACATTGAAAAGACTTAAATTCTAGCCTGGAAGGAACCATGTGTAAAGTTGGGACTGAAGGAGGTGTGGCTATTAGAGATTATTAATTAGCACTATCAAAAACAAAGCAAGTACTTTACACAGGGAAAAGGTGACTTATGGGACTCTTGGGATTCAGCAAAACCCTACCCAACACGGATTCGTATGTGCAAAGGTGTGAACCTTTCATCTGGTGGAAAAGTCTCTGGGATTCCTGGTCGTGAAGGGCCTCCTAGGGAATTGGTTCCCCAGATTCACTTTGCTGGATTCGGTCATCCAGGCCCTCAGAGGCTGCAACAGCCATGGTCCAAGGGACTCTTTAACTACATGAGTTAGCAGCCAACTGTAGCACCGTCCATGTGATGCTGGTTTTATTGGTATGGAGAATGAGTTATGGGGTCAGAAAGACTCCTACCAGATTTCAAAGGGTCTAGGAGGTCAGGCAAGAAGCCCCTGAGAGGGCAGTACGGGACGCTGTGGAGCAAAGCTAAAAGTGTAGTGGCGACCCCAGAAGCAGAAAATACTAGGAAAGGAGAATGTCTGCACAGCAAAGGTTCCGGCTGTGAGTGGAGACAGCCAGAGAGAGGCCACACAGGCTATCATCAGGAAGGCTGAGGGCGGGAGCATCCCAAGCCTTCTGGAACTCAGATCTTAATGTCAGGTCCCCTGGACGCCAGATAAGGAACTATACAGCAATGTCTGATCTCTTGGTCCTGCTTTGGCCTGATTTTAAATCCCTTTTATTCCTCCCTTTTATAATGGGAATGCTATGCCATGCCACTGTTATCTTGGGAATCACATAACCCATTTTTGATTTTGACATAGTTTCAGTTTGCCCTGAGTCTCAAAGAAAAGAGATTCAGCCTTCTAAAAAATGCTGGACTACAAAGATTTGGAGAGGGATTGCATTTCTGGTTGTACATGGGACAGGCGTATTATGTTAGGTGGAATTATAAACTCGCTACTGTCTTTATTTGCAGCTTAAATACGGTTTAAGGAGATGTGTTTGGGTGTAAAGTCAACAAAGGGTGGATTCTGACTTGCTACTTCTCATACATTGACTTCAATGAATTAAATGCCTAGCAGATTAATTAAGCAGGCTCCTGGACGTGTATAGGGGGCCACACAGGCATTACTTTTCTGCGTATGGTCCCTGACTTGTTCCTCCCTGGCAATGTTCCCTGCTGTACTTTCCAGCCACTAAGAACTCAGCAGCTCTGCTTCACCATGTTTCAGCCTTGGAGTCGGTCCGTCATATACTGAATTTTCTAAACAGATAAATTAAACCTTTCATAGTTTTAAATTGTGGGTGTGTCAGGCATTCTGTCTCAGCAACAGGAAAGCTATTATAATAAACTAAGAGATATTTTTAAATTCTTTACAGTCCCCTTCAGAAAGAAACTGCATGGGAATCAAGCAATGATTTTTATATCAAATGGCAAATATATATTTATTGCTTCTCCTTACACCTGACAAACACCATTCCATTATTGATACTAA